AACAACACTAAACGTGAATGGATCAACTTGGTACCTTGGTACAACCTGAATCAAAGATGAGCCTTAGACACTGACTGATGTAGCACTATGACAAGACAGACAGCAAAAGCAGCAGGTGGCAGGGCATGTGTGGTCAGGGATCTGATGACACTACTCTCAGAGTTTGGGGGATTCCTTCTCCTTTCTTATACTTGCATTCAGTCCAGGTTTTCCTTTCAGAAAGGGAGTGTAAGCTATTCTTTAAGCTTTTCTTTAAGGTTTCCAAGAGTTGCATCAATGGGATTTCCTGGAAATCCCCAAGACAGACTTAGAAATCCCCAGATGTGTCATCGTACTCCTGACACATAGTCACAGTGTCAGCAATGCAAGATGCTTGAGTGGGCCTCACATTAATCTTATACCCACAATATGTCTCTTATAGTATATGACAACATGTCAGATTCAAAGATATAAAAAGATTAAAAGGAAGGAAAAATATATTTATGCTAGCAGCAACAATAAGCTAGCTGGAAGGGCTGTACTATCAATAATATCAGATAAAAGAAACTTAAGACAAAAAATATTACCAGAGATACAGGGGGACATTTTATAATGATAAAAGAATCAATCCATTAAGAATATATAACAAATATAAATACATGTGCACCTAACAATAGAGCCCCAAAACACATAAAGCAAAAACTGACAGGTGTGAAAGGAAGATACACACTGAGGAGTGACAGGGGGATAATTCAAAATTACATCTTCAGTAATAGCTACAACAACTAGGCAGAATTTGAACAAAGGAGCAGAAGATGTGAATTACACTGCAAACCAAGAAAACCTCACAGACACTCACGAGATGCTCCAGCCAATACTAGAATACACATTTTTCTCAAGTGCACGTGAAAAATTCTCTAGGGTAGGCCACTTTGCTAGGCCATAAAAATAAAAAATTTTGAAGAAGTAAAATCAATGCTAACCATTATGGAATAAAAGTAGAAATTGGCAATAGAAAGAAATCTTAGAAATTCAAAAGTAATGTGGAAATTAAACAACAGACTCTTAAATATCAAATGAGTCAGTGAAAAAAATCACAAGGGAAACTAGAAAATACTTTGAGATGAATAAAAATAAGAATGAGTGGGGCCAGGCACAGTGGCTCATGCCTGTAATCCCATCTATGAGGCCGAGGCAGGTGGATTGCCTGAGCTCACAGGTTTGAGGCCAGCCTTAGTAATAGTGAGACCCCCATGTCTAAAAATAGCCAGGTGTTATGGCAGGTGCCTGTAGTCCCAGTTACCTGGGAGGCTGAGGCCAGAGGATCACTTGAGCCCAAGAGTTTGAGGTTACTATGAGCTGTGACACCACAGCACTCTACTCTGGGCAACAAAGTAAGACTCTGTCTCAAAAAAAAAAGATGAATGAAAGACACTAAAATGTTGGGGGTGGTGCCTGTGGCTCAAAGGAGTAGGGCACTGGCCCCCTATGCCAGAAGTGGCAGGTTCAAACCCAGCCCTGGCCAGAAACTGCAAAAAGAAAAACAACCAGATACTAAAATGTTACATGCAGCTAAACTAGTGCTTAGAGGGAAATTTCTATCCATTAAGAAAGGAAAATCACTTCAAATCCATAATTAACTCTCCACCTTAAGACCCTTGAAAAACAAAAGTCTAAACTAAACCTAAAATAAGTAAAAGGAAAGAATTACGGTAGAAATTAATAAAGCAGAGAACACAGAAATAATACAGAAAAAATCAAAAGAAAGATATGGAAAGGATTATATACCATGACCAAATGGGATTTTTTCCAGGATTGTGGGAAAGGTTTAATATCAAAAAATCAATTAATGTAATATACCATTATCAATAGAATAAAGAATCGTGATCATCTCAGTTAATGCAGAAAAAGCCCTTAACAAAATCCAACACCCTTTCCTCTTAAAAACATTCAAACAAACCAGGCCCAGAAGGGACCTTCCTCAGTCTGACCTCACGACAGTGATGAGAGAGCAAACTCCTCCCGGGGATCAGCAGCAAGGCAAGGACGTCCACTCCCACCATTCCCACGCAGCGCTGTGCTGGAGCTTCCAGCCAGGGCCAGAAGGCAAGAAAACAGAATCAAAGGAATACAAATTAGAAAACAAGGAGTACAACTATAGCTATTCGTAGATCACATGATCTTACATACAGAAAATCCAAAGGAACCCACTGAAAAACTATCAGAGGTAGCAAACGAGCTCAGCAAGGTCGCAATACACAACATTAACGTACAAAATCAATCGTGCAATAGGTCCTTGAACAACATGGTGGACAGCCCACAGGCGCCACCCCCATGAAGCTGAAAATCTGCATTTAACTTTTGATTCCTCAAAACCTTAATAGCCTACTGTTGACAAGATACTGATAACACAGCAGTTGGCTGAAACATAGTTTGTAGGTTAACATGTATATACTGTATTCTTACAATAAAGTAAGCTTTGCAATAAAGGGAACCTTATTAAGAAAATCATAAGGGGCTCGGCGCCTGTGGCTCAAGCAGCTAAGGCGCCAGCCACATACACCTAAGGTGGCAGGTTCAAATCCAGCCTGGACCTGCCAAACAATGATGGCTGCAACCAAAAAATGGCCAGGTGTTGTGGTGGGCGCCTGTAGTCCCAGCTACTTGGGAGGCTGAGGCAGGTGACTCGCTTGAGCCCAGGAGTTGGAGGTTGCTGTGAGCATGATGCCATGGCACTCTACCCAGGGGGACAGCTTGAGGCTCCGTCTCAAAAAAAAAAAAAAAAAAAAAGAAAAGAAAATCATAAGGAATAAAAATATATTTACTATTCATCAAGCAGAAGTGGATCATCATAAAGGTTTCTACCCTCTTCACACTAAGTGGGCTGAGGAGAAGAGTCTTGGTTTTATGCGGACAGCAGAGGTAGGAGAAAATCCACCAGTGAATGAATGACCCCAAAACGAAATGAGAAAACAATTCCATTTACAATAGCATCAAGAAAGTAAAATACTTAGATAAATTCAGCAAAGTGTAAAACTTAACTCTGAAAACTAAAAACTTGTTGGAAAAAATTAAAGTAAACAGAAAAACATCACATTTTGCTGGGCTGGAAGGCTTAATACAGTTATGATGGCAATATTGACCAAACTGACCTACAGATTCACTGCAATCCCTATCAAACTCCTAGCTAGAATTTTTGCAGAAATTAACAAGCTGATCCTAAAATTCTATTGAGATTTCAAGGGACTCCAAATAGCCCAAACAATCGTGAAAAAGAAGAAAAAATTTGGAAGACTCTTGATTTCCAATTTCAAAACTTAATATAAAGCTATAATAATCATAACAGTTTGGTAACAATCTAAGAACAGAAATACTGATCAAAGAAATAGATGAAAAAATAAACTCTCATGTATTACGGTCAATTGATTTTTGGTAAGGATGCCAAAATCATTTACGGGGGAAGATTCTTTCCAACAAATGTGCTGGGACAAGTGGATACAAAGGAATGAATCTGGACTTCCATCTCACATCATCGAAATTAACTCAAAATGCATCACAGACTAAGTGTAAGAGCTAAAACTAAAAACTCTTATGAGGAAATACAGGAGTAAATCTTTATGATCTTGGAGAGATAAAAATCTTTTTAGATATAGTGCAATGGACAAAAACAATCAAGATTTCATCAAAATGAAACACTTTAGTTTTCCAAAGGATACAGTCAAGAGAAAGAAAACCTACAATGAGAGCAAATACAAAACGCATCTGATAAGAGACCAATCTCATGCAAATCCAAAGAACTCTTAGACTCAGTGAAAGTAATCCAGTGAAACTATGGACAAAGACTCTAGGGACATTTCTGCAGAGAGGACATATACAAATCACCAGTGAGTCCCTGAAAAGACACCCAGCACTGTCAGCCATAGGCAGCTTGTAAATCAAAACTGCAGGGAGGTATCACTTTACAGCCACTAGAATGGCTATTAAAAAAAGATGGATAACAAATGTCAGTGAAGATACAGAGATACGCTGCTGATAAGAATATAAAATGGTGCAGCTGCTTTGCAAAACAACTTTTAAATTACCTTAAAAGTTGTCAAATAGAGTAAACATGTGACCCAGCAATTCCACTCTTAGATATAAACCCAAGAGAAATGAAAACACACGTCCACCCACAGACCTGTGCACAGCGCTCATCATCACATCACTCACAACAGCCAACAAGGGGAGTCGACTAAATGTTTATCAACTGACCAATGAATGAATAAAATGCACTGGATATGTACAATCATGTTCATCCACAAAAAGGAATTAAATACCATGGGATGCCCTGGGGGAGTCTTGGAACACTGTAAAATGAAAGAAGCTGTAACAGCAGACCAGGCCTCCCGCGTTCCCACTCACTCACACAGGACCAGGCCTCCC